TGGCAAACTGGTTCATTCCTACAAATTCCCCCAGCCCAACAAAGTGCTCCCAAGCAAAGGGCCATACTATCCCCATCTCCTTGCTGTAAAAATGACGATGCCTGGAGGCAATTATTCCATAAGATGAATTCTGTAGAGATCAGATCTTTAATTTTCCCTTGCACGTGTCAACAACCCAGTATTCCAAGAGCAACGGTACTGATCACATCCCACTTAGCTAGTTGGGAAGCTGAGACCTAGAAAGGTTGGGGTTACAGTTCTGGAGAGATCCCAGGACAGTCTCAGTGGGGGAGAAAATGCCTGCCCCACCTCCACCTGCCAGTGTCATAACCACTCACCTTGCAACATCTCCTGGATCTGCCCAGGACCTTCAGCTCAGGAAGCACCCTCATCACATTGTGTCCCCCCAACAAAGCCCTAAGCCTTCACATCCTTTGTCTAATTCTGTTTCTCCCAAGGCCACTGGACAATCAATTACCTCCATAGAGTTGAAGCTCATCCTTCAAAACGTCAGGCTCCCCGTGCTCTGCACCTGGGTGGAGACACACCCCATTAGTCAGCTCTCCCCAGTCACCACACCTCAGGGTGGTTTCCTTCTCCCAGAAGGTTTGAAATCCTAAAGAGTGGCACAGCCCTTGTGCTGGGGGTGAGGTGGTGGTCTTCCAGAGGCAAGGCAGCCTTACAAGAGCTCTCCCTCTACTCTGTCTGACACCCCCCCAATAACCCCAGGTAACTGTGTTCAGTTGACTAAGAAGGAATTGGGGGCCTGAGTGGACCTGGGCCTCATAAGAAGTCAGTAATAAGACTCACCATTTATTGAGCACCTACTATATACCAACACTGAACTAGGTAATTTGTAGTTAATGCTTCATTTGGTCCTCATGGAAATGTTGTGAAGCCGGTATTAGTATCTCCTCCTCCCCCATTTTACAGATGAGGAAACTGAGGCTCATAAAAGTTATTCCCTGAAGGTCACATAGCCAGGAAGTAGCAATTGTAGGGTTCAAACCCAGGTCGGTCACCAAAGCGTGTATTCCTAATTATTTATGTCCAGAAATAGAACCCAGAGGGCAGCTCCGGTGTCATGGGAACATTTATTAAACACCTCATGTGTACTGAGATCTGTACTAGGCATTAATCCAGGCGCTTTCCCTCCCAAGCTCTTTCCTTTCCACAATCAATTTAGGTTGATATTTATCAAAGTTGTTTTTTCAAAAAACAAAATTATATTCTCCTGGTTATAAAAATAAAACATGCCTAGTGTAAAATATAAAGATAGATACTTTAGAGGAGAGCTTAAAGAAGTGAAAATAAAAATCAACCATAATTTAACCATCCAGAGATAACCAGATTTCCTTCCAGTCTTGTTTATAAGCAAGTATGTGTGAATTTTTATAAGGTGTAGATGAGATCAAGCAAATTCTAGATATGAATCTCTCTTTTTCACTTCAGAGGTGTATGAAGACCAGAGCTCTAACCCGGACAGCTGGCAGCATCACTGATCTATGTTGATGTTGTTGGACGTTGGGTTCTCATTGCCCTACTATAAACAATGCTGCAAGGGACATCTTAACTTGGACGTGCTCAGTCCCACTGAGAAACAACCGTCAGTCAAGTGGCCAAAGAAGAAGTGGTGAGGCCTTCTGCCTACTGGATGAGCCGTCCCTGTGGGGGTGTCCAGCCCCCTGGCTCTGCTGACGTTTTCCGTTTACTTGGGGGTGCTGGTCCTCATCACTGCTCTTTGCAGGGAACAAACACAACTGTAGGAGAGCCCCCTTCCGGAATGAGCCTGGAACACCTCGTTCTGGTGTTCGTTCTCAGAATTATTTATGTGAGGAGTGTGGTCTGGGAGAAAGAGTTCTGCTTTGAGGGCTGGGGGACAAGAGATCTGCCATGAACTTTGTGTGACCTCAGACAATCACTTACTACTTCCGACACTGCTTTCATGAAGATCAGACAAGGTCCTATGAGGCTTTTCGAGTTACTGAGGTGGTTTCCCTCCCACCCTGTGCAGGGGCTGTGTCATCTCCGTAATCCCCCTAACGCCGCACTGACTCTGTTCATGCTGTGTCTCCCACCTGGAGCTCTCTTCCCACCTGCTCCCTCATCCTGAAGGTTAAGGTGATGTCACACCTCTTGCAGAAGGGCTTTCTGGCTGCCCCAGCTCACACGCGTCTTGCCTACCCTCCTCTGGGGTTGCTATAGCATCATCTGTCTTTGCTTGACACAGCTGGTCCCTCCAACCACCTTGAGCTCCTGAGGGACAAGTCCTGGTCATCACTGTGCTAAGGTCCCCAGCCTGGAGCAGGAGCTTGATGAAGCCTTGAAGAATGACTGCATTGTGGGGGAGGGCATAGCTCAGTGGTAGAGCATGTGCCTAGCATGCACGAGGTCCTGGGTTTAATCCCCAGTACCTCCATTAAAAAAAAAAAAAAAAGAATGATTGCATTGTTTGCACTCTTGAATCAGTCAGCGTCCCAGGGATTCAGACCTAGGAGTTTTTTGGCTTCAGGTCCGGAGGACTCCATTTTCCTCAGGATGACCAAGACGGCCTCTGTAGTCCTCATGTCCCTCAAGTGTGCTTGGGGACCTCCTGGTCTATCCTGGATAGATTTTAAAATGCCAGGAAACCAAGTTAGCTGTGCTTGAAAATGAGTGCCTACGTGATCTCAGCTAGGTACAGAGAAAGGTACCAGGAGGTGCGTCAACAAGGTAACGCTGGTATTTATCTCAGGAGCTAGGATTGGGGGTGGCTTCTATTTTCTTCTTTTCTGTAGTTTACAAATATTAATCAATGCCCCCAAAAGGCTTTTTCATCACATTTTGCAAAATATCAAACAGTACAGAAAATAAAGGAAGCAAAAATGACTCCAAATTCTATCAGTCAGGGATGACCTCCACCAACATGCAAATGAACGTTATTTTAGCTTTCTCTGTGATATATTCGCAATGTATCTTTTTAAATCAATATGTTATAGAATTATATGCTGTCTAAAGTGAGGCTAATTTCTGTATGTGCTCTCTAATTCAACTATTTAAAAAATCGATCCTGGCCGAAGTATCACTGTCTGTTGCTAGGACCCCAGTGTCCGTCACAGAGCCTGGCACATAATTGGCACTCAATGAATATTTACTGAATAAACGTAAGGAAATGCACTAATACATGTTTGGCGGCTAACAGAGCAACGTGCCCAGGTGTAATCTTTTACAATAAAGAAGTTTTAATTAAAAAAAACAAGATACATTACGATAAAAAATATACGGAGGGAGAGCGGTGCTGGATGACAGACGAGGAGTTAGGGTCCTACGTGTGGAGGACGGCTGGGCTGAGGACTAACGGTCACGGTCACCATCTGAGCCTGAAGACGGGTGGGGTCTGAGTTCCCGCAGCAGGCTGGCCGCGGCAGGATCAGAGACCAGGATCCTGAATGTCAGTCTGTCTCGATGCTCCCTGGACTCCGTGGTTACTTCCCTGTTGCTTTCTTCAGTGTTCAGTTTTGCTAACTACAGCCAGTCCCCTGTGTGCTGTGGAGACCGGCGGGGAAGGGGCTTATGGCCACGCATGGGGCAGAACGTTTGTGGGGGAGCAGCACCTCCTGAGGATCAACCAGAAGACAGAGCGTCCCCTCCCACCTGGGAGGAGAAACAAAGGGACAGAGTCCCCCTGCCAGAGCCCCCCACCTCTGGAATCCCTTCTTCCGGAGCTAGACCTCATAAGGGTGGGTTTGTACACTTTTTAAAGAGGACAGTGGCTTTCTTTGAAGTCCAGAGAGGAGACTGGCTACAAACCCCAGGACCACTAACCACTTTCCCTTCTCTCTCTGCTGAAATTAGCATGGATTTCTTGACCTTGAGCCTCAGTCTTATCATTTCTGACACAAGGACATGAGGCCAGGGCTTTGCAAGCATTTTTTTTGTTGCTGTTGAGCCCGAGAACTCTTTTCCCAGATGAAATCTCAGGCGCAGGCCCACTGTGTAAAACAGATCACAGTGCAGGAGCTCTGGTGGAGGAGGAGGAGACCAGAGCCCACCCCTTAGCCTCCCTGGTCCCAGAAAGACCTCCAGGGAATCCCAGGTGGGTTATTGAGCCCTCTTACAACAGGTCAGTTAGCCTCACTGGCCTCAGGTTCCTCACCTGTAAAATGGGATTAATAATGGTACCTTCCTCATGAGCTATGAGAATTAACTGAGTTATTTCATGTCAAGTGCTTGGAACGGTGCCCGGCACATAGTGAGTGCTCAATAAATGCTCTCTCTGATGTTGCTGCTGCAGCTGTCAATTCAGCCTCACATTTTGAGTTAAAAGAATAAAAGTGGAAGAACATTCTGCTTTTTATCAGAGACTAACGTGCCACTTTGTAATCAAGACTCAGTGAGAGGTGCTTATCCCTCTAAACCCGTCACAGTGCTTGTGGGGAGTCAGTACTTGGGACCTGATTTGTATGAAACATACTAAAAGCAAAAGCTTTTGTGCCAGGATGCTCACGAGGATGACAAACTGGGTGGGGGGGTCGCTGCTCTTAGCAGGACCAGTTATTTTCAGAGCTTTTCCTGTGTGCTGGGTGCTAAGCCTCGGCATGCGTAGAGTGCAGTCCTCACGGGAATGCTATGAGGTAATAACTACGCGCGAGGACCCAGGGCACACAGGGTTGAAGCGACCTACCCAAGGGCACAGAGCTGGTTAGCGGCAAAGAAGGGACACGGACCCAGGCAGATGCAGTGCCTCTGGCCGCAGAGCGTCCCTAGGAAACTTACACGTTCCTTCCCACGAGATGCGGTCGCTATTCGGGAAGCATGAAAAATGGCTGCAAAGCTATTACGGAATAACATGGCAAAATGCTTAGGATGAGACGGCAAAAAGTTGTAAACTG